AGTGTATCACCATTTGAAGGTTTCACACAGTTGTTCTAGCTTCTATTCCCTTGGTATTTATTTGTTTCAAAGTCAAAGCATAGAGGATGAGTTGTTCTTTTCTTTTCCTTTTTCTTTCTTTGAGGTCCATTAGGTTAGAAAATACAGTGCTCCCTATGCCATATTTTATGTGATAGTCTTTCCTTTTTAGTTTCTCACAGAAAGACTTTTACCTTTCTATATTAAGAAACTATGTAATCTATCCATCTTCATTTTACCCTTACTGAAATAACTTTTAGATTCCATTTGATGGACCTGTTCTACCTTTTCTCAGTTGAGAGAATGGTAAAAAATATGCACAACTTTTGTGACCTCTCACTTAATTGTTGGTGCTAACTACAATTTTGGTATTTCGCATATTCTTAGCTTATGTGTCAAAAGTCTTTATTTCTTGAACTCTGGGCACATCCTAACTACGCTGCATAAAATGGGACCAAGGGGGTATTAAATTTGTTTATATGAAATCCTTTTTCTTTTACTTGTATCAGTAGCTGATGACAGTTTACTCTAATTCTAGGCTGTGATTAAGAAGAAATATGGCCAGGATGCAACAAATGTTGGTGATGAGGGTGGTTTCGCTCCTAATATCCAGGTGAAGTATAAATATATGCTGATGAATGGCATACTGTTGAATGGTTACCCTTTTACATCACATGACTATGGCTTTTGAAATTTCAGGAGAACAAGGAGGGTCTTGAATTGCTCAAGACTGCCATCGAAAAAGCAGGTTATACTGGCAAAGTAAGCTCTCAACTGTGTTTAAATCAGACCTTTTTCCAACTGCTTTTAATAATATAGAAGCTAAGATTATTTTCCTTTTAGGTTGTTATCGGAATGGATGTTGCAGCATCTGAATTCTATGGAAAGGACAAAACTTATGATTTGAACTTCAAAGAAGAGGTATATCCTTTCTGATTATTCCTAGTAGTGCATTTGAATAGTAATTTTAGTGGCCTTCTTTCACTATCAGTTGACACTTAGAGGTTTTGTCTCCGTTAAGAATGTTGAACTGGATTTTCTGCGTTAACATGAATCTGTAATCTTGATGGTTCCTGAAGCCACATCAACTTAAAATTGGGAAACTGATAAATTAGGCTTTTTTGACCATCTCTTTTGGTGAAAACCCTTTCTCAGAACTCAGCAATAGAGATTAATCAGTAATAACCACTAACTGGGGATTTCTAGCTACTTGGGAAATGGATATTCAAGTGAGCTGGAAATTGTAGGACTCTCTATTGAGGTAGTTTCATGTTTGATTTATTATCTAATCTGATTTGCTTCAATTGTTTCATCTTTGCAGAATAACAATGGCTCCCAAAAGATCTCAGGTGACCAGCTCAAAGATTTGTACAAGTCATTTGTGTCTGAGTACCCTATTGTTTCGATAGAAGATCCATTTGACCAAGATGACTGGGAGACCTATGCTAAGCTCACTGCTGAGATTGGGGAGAAAGTACAAATTGTAGGAGATGACCTTCTTGTCACCAATCCTAAGGTAAAACTGAAGTGTTATACAACTAGTTGTCATTTTCTTGCTTATAGCTGCATTAGATGTTCCATCATTAAGGAAAATGGGTAGAGCTCCTGGTTCTTGTGTGTACGTGTTACTTTCTCAATGCTTTTCGAAACCATGTAATTATTAGTTGTATCTGTGCAGAGAGTTGCCAAGGCAATCAGCGAAAAGACTTGCAATGCACTTCTTCTTAAGGTATTTGTCACATCATCTAAGTTGGCCATATTGATGGTATGTCCTCTTAATTTGGAGACAACTGTTGAAATATTTCATTCTGATTTTGTGTGCAGGTTAACCAAATTGGCAGCGTGACTGAGAGTATTGAAGCTGTGAAAATGTCTAAGCAAGCTGGTTGGGGTGTAATGACTAGCCACCGCAGGTAAGGAGATCATGATCCTCTGCAATAGGCTTGCAGAAAGAGGAAATTCAGTTATGTTTTGTTGTTTATGACACTTGTTAATGATCTTTGGGTATTTGGTGCAGTGGGGAGACAGAGGATACCTTCATTGCTGATCTTGCTGTTGGTTTGTCAACGGTAATTTCGTAAATGCACTTTTGTCTAATCTAATTTATAGTCAACTCGGAGTAGTCTTTGGTATCAATTGTGTATTTCCCGGATTCTTGTAGGGACAAATCAAAACTGGAGCTCCCTGCAGATCAGAACGTCTTGCAAAGTACAACCAGGTACTTACCCCAATAGTACAGTTTACTTTGATGGTATTACTATTCTCTGGCGCTTCTTTCTGTAGTCAGTTCTGATTTCTCATTCATTCCATCAGCTCTTGAGAATTGAAGAGGAACTTGGTTCAGATGCTGTATATGCCGGAGCAAGCTTCCGCACCCCTGTTGAACCGTACTAACTAGGACTCTCTTGGGCTGACCAAATTCCCAGTGTGGAAATGGTCATTCTAGGACCTGTGATCGATTTTCACATTGCAACTTTTAACAGTTATGTTCTGATGTTTTGAGCCTTGACAATTCTGAACTGAGAAAAAGTTCTCGTAATATCTTATTTCTGAGTTTTGACTGCTGGGAATGCAGTTTGTAGTAGTACTTCAAGATTTTTGATGTTTTGGTTTTGCCATCACAGTTTTTTCCTTGCTAAATTGTAACACATTGTGGATTATACCCCAATCCACTGATAGTGCCTTTCATTAATTGAGTCGCCATGATGAAAACAACATATTCGGTGAAATTCCGCAAGTACGGTATGAGATGTTGATGAATTCAATTGCGTCTGTTTCATCCTATGATGTAAGAACAAAACTTTTCTGAATAGAATTACAGTTAGGCATTGGAATCACTCTGTCATAATTCATTTACAAAATTTATGTCCATGCATTGGAACCACTCTCTGTCATAATTCATTTTTCGTAAAATCGAAATTATATATATATTGTTAACGTTTGAAGAAATTACATGTCTTTCGCGAGTATTATTGAAAAAATAAATGAGGCCACAAAAGACAATTATTGAAAGTTACATGGGTCTGTTTGTCTTTATCCTAAAATCTTGTTTTAAGGAAAATGTAAAACAAGGGAGGGTTTAGCAATATCTCAGGCCGCAACAGTGTGTTACTAATCGTGTCCAAAATGGTATTTGGATGACTCAGTTGATTTGAAGGATGGTTATCCACATGGATGATTTTGAATCTATTCCCCTTCAATGTTTGTTGAATCAAGTTTGTTGCATAGAGCTTGCCAAGTACGATTTTCATTTTGTTGCATAGGACTTGCCAAGTATGTTTCCATTCTATATGTGATTTGCAGGTTATTGCACAATGAGGGCTCACCCAATATGCACAAAGTGCTCACTCAAAGAATAGAGGTTGTGACAGAGTGTAGCGGTTGCGGTTTATGTGAGACATGCCTTATACCTTTATCCCAATATACTTGATACAAGTTTTGTACTGTAAATAATAAATTTAAATGACACATATATTATTGGATTTTCTATGTGTTATAAAATAAAAAACAAAACATACAAAATAAAAGTAACTACTGATATTTTAATTAGGAATTAATCTAAGGAAATGCAAAAGTCATTAACATTTTAATTAAAATGATATGATTTTAATATTTAAATTAAATAGTTAAATGTTTTATAGAATTTTAATTTATAGTAAGGTAAACCGTAATTTAACTTTTAACTTTTTTTGTTCCTACTTATAGGATGATATGATATGGTGATGCATGAAAAATAAAAACTAAATTGATAAATCTATTGAATTGCATCATAATCAACTCAAATGCCACTAGAAGTCACAAAACCTTGTTTCGACTCAAATACACATACATAAAGTAAGGGGAAAAAATAAACTTGTTATAATTTAATTACATAAAGAAACATATTTTATTTGGATATGTCAAAATGAAATTTTTTTATTAAGAAGAATTCTAATAAAACTTGATGTTGCAATATACTTAAACTAATTCTTCTTTGGAAAGATTAAAGCTTCTAAAATGAAAAAAAAATTATCTAAAAAATCTATCATAATTTCAATATTAGCATTTTCCTTCCTTTTTTTTTTCTTTTCAAATGATTTTTTTAGGAAGCCTAAGATCATCCATTAGCTATTGTCTCTGATGATGACAGAAGTCTTCTGAACAAAATTGTTGAGTTCGATTTGATTAGTTTAATTAATTAATTTTCGAGTTTAATTAGTTGGATCATAACAAACCATCAGTTGATGGTAGAGTGGTGGACACCCAGAGAAGACCAATTTTGATTGGCACTGGGTTTGTATGCTAAGGCTTCCCCTCCAGCCCTATAATAATGAAACGGCCAAGATTTCCATGTAAGGTATGCCTCTTACACCAAAATCACAACTTTTTCGCAGCATAAGTTTACCTGTTTGTATCATAATATACCATAAGTTATGAACTAAAGGAATAGTAAGTTATGGCAATGCCCCTCATATTGAAATAACAAATAGCTTTCCCATGATATAAGTTTACATGTTCGTATCATAATATTCCACAAGTTATGTGTATGTCGAGAGCCGGGAGGGCATAATGCAAAAAATAAAATAAAAGTTATGTAAACTTATACGGAGCGAATTAGGTCTGGACAGATATATTTTGGTCCTCCAAATTTTCATAAAATGAGAAGCAGGAGCAATAATTAAACACCAGTCTGTTTGAAGGGCAATACGATGTAAAAACTTGATTTGAATGTGACTTCCTTTTTGGTATCCTTATTTTCTTGTGGCAGACTCATAACATACTGTCATTCATTAGAAACAAAAACAACACATAAATTATTTATTTTAAAGGATGATTAGCTGTTAATCAAAAAAAAAATATTCTTTATTCAAATTATTGTCTATGAATTATTCTCTTTCTTGTAGAGGCCGGCAAACAACAAGCAAAAGAATACTTATGCAAGAAGTTTAAGAAGATTTTGGTGTATAGAGGAAGAAAACAACTTTGTAAAGAGCATTGCAACGATGGCCGATCTTGTAATTGGTGCTACTGTTAAAGTTGTGCTTGATAAACTGCTTTCTCTCACTATTGAGGAGGCCAAGAGTTTAAGGAACTGCAAGAAAAATCTAAGAATTCTGACAAAATATGTATCCATGATTCAAGCTCTCATTCATGATGCTGAAAGACGACAAGTTGATGATCAGGCTGTTGAACAATGGCTCAAAATGCTTGAGAGAGTTGCTGAAGATGCTGAAAACGTGTTTGACGAATTCAGATATGAATATCTCAAAGCACAAGTGAAGAACATCCGAACCAAACTAATGGAAAAGGTCAGCAGCTTCTTTTCTCATACTGCTTTTAAGTAAAAAATGTCGCGAAAAATAAACAACATCAATGAAGAGTTGAAGGCTATCAATCAGTTAGCCAATGACCTCGGTCTCAAACCACTGATGGTTCCTTCTCAGAAAATACTTCCAATTCGAGAAACAGATTCCTTAGTTGTTGCTTCGGATGTTGTTGGTAGAGACAAAGATGTTGCTGAAATAAAAGAGAAGATTTTGAACATGAGAAAGGATGCTGTTCTGTGCACCATTCCCATAGTGGGTATGGGGGGTTTAGGGAAAACTACTCTGGCTAAGAGAATTTTCAATGACCAACACATCAAGCAGCAGTTCGAAAAGAGAGTTTGGTTGTGCCTACCTGAAATGGTAGAAACTAAGAGCTTTCTTGAACTGATCCTCGAATCATTGACAAAGAGGAAAGTTGAGGTCCAAAGCAGAGATATAATAGTCAAGACGCTACAAGATGCATTGGGAGAAAAAAAGTATTTGCTTGTCCTGGATGATTTGTGGCATGTTGACTCTACATCATGGCATGAGTTCATGGACACCTTGAGAGGAATAAATACATCCAGAGGAAACTGCATTCTCGTGACTACTCGTATCAAACAAGTGGCATCCACAGTAGCAGTAAATCTTCATATGTTGGGGAAATTAACAGACTATCATTGTTGGTCCATTTTCAAACAAAGAGTATTTGTTGATGGGGAAGTTCCGGAGGAAATACTGAGCATAGAGAACAAGATAGTTGAAATGTGTCAAGGTCTACCGTTGGCTGCAAGTGTGTTGGGAGGCCTCTTATGCAACAAGGAAAAACATGAATGGCGGGCAGTTCTTGATGGAAATCCCCTTGTTGCGGGGGAAGATGATAACGGGGAAAATAGCATAAAGAAGATCCTAAAACTCAGCTATGATTATCTACCATCTCCACATCTGAAAAAGTGTTTTGCTTACTTTGCCATTTTTCCAAAAGATTTTGAGTTTGAAAAGGACCAGCTTATCCAACTCTGGATGGCAGAAGGTTTTCTCGGTCCATCTCAAGAGACCACTTTGATGGAAGACGTTGGGAACAAGGTTTTTCAACTTTTGTTGCAAAATTCCTTGCTGCAAGATGTTAAGCTAGATGATCTGAACAAAATAAAATACTGTAAGATGCATGATCTTGTGCATGATTTGGCTGGAGATATTTTAAAGTCTAAACTATTTGATCAAAAGAGTATTGGAGGAGAAAATCTTTCTCAAGTCCGATACTTTGGATGGGACTCACCAAGTGATCAAATAGATAAGATAAACGAGTCAGGACGTTTGTGCACATTGTTCTGGAAAAGAATTATATCTGAAAAACTGTTGTTGAGCTTTCAGTTCTTGAGAGTTTTAAATTTGTCCAGGTCAGGCATCAAGGTATTGTCAGCCAAAATCGGCAAGCTAATATACTTGAGATATCTTGATCTCTCCAGCACTGAGATCAAAGCCTTGCCCAACTCCATTTGCAAGCTCTACAATTTGCAAACATTTAGAATCAATAGTTGTTACTCACTTAGGAAGCTTCCAGAAGAAATGGCAAATATGATAAGTTTGAGACACATATATTGCGACTTTCATTACCAAACATATCTTGATTTTGCGGGTTGGAGATCAAGGTTTATAGGTAATTATCAGTTTCAGATGCCACTTAATATGGGGCAATTGACTAGTCTTCAGACACTACAGTTTTTCTATGTAGGTTTAGAGACAGGTCGTCGAATAGAAGAATTAGGTCATTTGAAAAACCTTAGAGGTGAATTGACGATCAAACATCTCCAATTAGTCGTAAATAAAGAAGAGGCTCGAACAGCATATTTACAGGAGAAACCAAATATCTACAAGCTGACATATTTATGGACCCATGATGAATCAGAAGGCTGTGAGATCAATGATGAGCATGTGTTGGATGGTCTTCAACCGCATCCTAACTTGAAACCTTAGCAGTAGTGGACTATTTTGGGACTAAATTTCCTTCATGGTTCAGTGAAGGATTGCTACCAAATTTGGTCAAGTTGAAATTAAGTGGCTGCAAAAGGTGCAAAGAAATTCCATCGCTTGGCCAACTGAAGTTCCTTCGGCATCTTGAGCTGATAGGATTCCTTGAATTGGAATGCCTTGGATCTACATTTTATGGCGTTGATGTTAATGATAAAGGATCAAGCAGCAATAATGGCAATATCCAAGTGTTCCCATCACTGAAAGAACTAGTATTGCAGAATATGAATAGCCTTATTGAGTGGAAGGGTGATGAAGTTGGAGTTAGAATGTTTTCTGCGCTTGAGAAGTTGAGGATCACAAAGTGTCCACTGTTAGAAGGTACCCCACGTCAATTGGAAATCCTCCGTGAATTAAGCATTGAAGGAGTTGACAGTGAAATGCCATTGTTGAACTTGTGTAGCAACTTGACATCTCTGGTAAAGCTTATTGTGACTGATGTGGAAGAGCTCACTTGTCTTCCTGATGAGATGCTACGCAATAACGTTTCTCTTCAACAACTATTGGTCACACACTGCAGAGAGTTTCGTGAATTGCCCCAAAGCCTGTACGATCTCCATTCTCTTGAGAGCTTACAAATACTCTTCTGCACCAATTTCAGTTCTCTTCCTGTTCCCAGTGTAGAGAATCGTTTGACTTCCCTCCAAAGTCTTGATTTATCACTGTGTATTGGATTGACCAGTTTACCAAGTGGAATGCTAGAGCATTGTCGGTCTCTACAGACTTTGAAGCTCAGCTGTTGTCGCAACTTAGTTTCCTTGCCTTTGCACGTATGGGAAATGCCTTCAATTTCATATTTGGGTTTATCAAATTGTCCCAAGTTGATTAGTGTACCCACAGGGGGCCTTCACCACCTCACAGGGTTAAAGGTATTGGAAATTGGTCCTTTCTCAGAGACCGTGGATTTTGAGGCATTCCAATTGATTTTTAATGGCATTCAACAACTATCGTCCCTTCGTACATTGGAGGTGTATGGATGGACGCGTTGGGATTCTCTGCCTTATCAACTTATGCAACTATCTGCCCTAACAAAGATCTGTATATATGATTTTGGAATTGAGGCTCTTCCTCATAGACTTGACAACCTTACTTCTCTTGTAACATTACATCTAATGGGGTGCCAAAGGCTACAACATGTGGACTTCTCAGATATCATGCCCAAATTACGATATCTGGAGATCCATTATTGTCTATTGTTAGAAGGTCTGTCGGATGGGCTTGGCAACCTTGTTTCTTTGGAAGAATTAAGTTTACGTAACTGCGTGAAACTACAACATCTTCCATCCAGATATGCCATGCTGCGCCTCACTAAATTATGGAAACTTCTAATTAAAGGCTGCCCGCAGTTAGAAGAAAGTTGCACCAATCGGAGTAGCCCAAACTCCCAGTGGTCCAACATTTCCCATATTCCAAAAATTGAAGTAGGTGGGAGGATAATTCAGAACTTACGTAAGTCTCTGTTTCTCTTTCACTTTCTGATCAGTTAAATTTTTAAATATTATTTTCCCCGAGTTCCAGAAAAGAAGTTATGTATGTAGTTTAACATTTTTTCTGCAATTATTTTGACATTAAAAATTGCAAAATTATTAATGAATTGCATTTGTGCTATGCTTTCAGCATTCTGCTTGTCCACTTGAACTGAATTGCTCTTTCTTCTAATTGATGCTTTCCTCCATATAATTCTTCTTCATTTTTCTTTTGCCAGAGCTTCGATCCATAATATTGATGCGAAAACTTAGGACTTCTATGGACTCCTTTTTCCTTTTTTATTTTCAGGGGACAGATTGGAACATTTTGTTAGAGAGGTTTATATAAGTTTCTTAATAGACATTCTCGTTACTTTCACTTTCATTAAAACTCTTGCGATTGAAGGACTTCAACAAAGAAAGTTACAAAAGACTGCTATTTATTGAATCTTATAGCAAAGAGTGTCCCATTGGCTCTAAAAATGTCCTTAGCAGTATCTGTTCATCTTAATAGGTCGCTGATTCTCCATTCTCGAAGATGAAAATGTGTGTGAAAACTGACTTTTACTGTTTCCTGTGTTTCAGATTGATGGTTGAAACAATGGCATGGACGTCTTATCTAAATCGTAGACTGGAAAAGATTTGACAGCAGAGGAGGCCTTTCTTGCACAATGTTCATGCTGTACCTGTCTTTCTTACAGCCCTCTTGGATTTTGTTTGTGCATAATAAACAAAAAAGTAATATAGTTTTATGTCATTTTAAGTAACTCCTACTCTCTAGAAAAAAAACTGAAACCTACGTTTGATTAATTCAAAAACCTAAGTATTATAGCTTTAATGTTTGTCTTAATTGATTGATGTTCCATGTTAGTAACTATTCTTTACAAAGCACTTCATATGCAGTGGCGGATCCAGGATTTAGAGTTCGTGGGTGCCAAATAGACTTATCGATGTGTGCAGCAATTTCCTTTTTCTTAAAAAAAAAAACTGAAACCTACGTTTGATTAATTCAAAAACCTAAGTATTATAGCTTTAATGTTTGTCTTAATTGATTGGTGTTCCATGTTAGTAACTATTCTTTACAAAGCACTTCATATGCAGTGGCGGATCTAGGATTTAGAGTTCGTGGGTGTCAAATAGACTTATCGATGTGTGCAACAATTTCCTTTTTCTTAAAAAATCGTCTACAACAAATTTCTCAAAAAAATAGATACAAATGGGGTTCGAACCCACAACATCAACCTTCTAAAGTTGCCCTCCTACCGTGGCACCACAAGCCAATTTTGTTCTCTGGGTGACGCGCTTTATATAAATATAAATATTATATATATACCTATGTATATATAGAGTTTCCGTTCAAGTTCGGGGGTGGCGTGGCACCCCCACACCCCTTAATAGATCCGCCCCTGTTCATATGCCCAAGCAAAATAAAAAAATAAAAAATAGGTAAGCAGATTACAAGGTAGAAAATCGAACTTTTACCAACAAGGTGAAAGTTCAGATAGCATATTCTCCTTAGGATTCTTCCTCTTTGACTTGTCAAATCAAGTGCGATGGAGAATTGTGTTGTGGGAAAAAATTGGAGATCATGGAGTTGGCTTGAGCTTCTTGAATATTTCTCTATCAAAACTTATTTAATTGAGGGGAAAGTTACCCATTTAGTCAATCAGACAAATATAATTATATCTGCTAGTCAAATATATAAAAAAAAAAAGATATACACTATTTTGTAAGTATTAAAATAGGCGGAATGAATTTTGGAACACGACAATGTTTAATGTTTTGGGACTCAAAAAGTAAAATATTTTTGTACAATATTAAAATAGGCTGAATGAATTAATATTACAAAAGTACAATATTAAATTTGAAATTTTATGTTTGTAACTTTTTTTTGCCTAAAAGTACAGCAATAACATATCTAATGAAATTTCACAAATAGGGTCTGAAGAGGTTAAAGTGTATGCAGACTTTACCAGCACCGTAAAAAATAAAAAATAGAGAAGCTTAAAACTCAAAACATTTAGGGTGTGTTTGGTAGAAGGAAAATGTTTTCCATGGAAAATGTTTTCCTAGAAATGCTTTCTGGAAAACAAATAGACTTTGGACTTGTTTTCTCATATTCAGTTGATTATTAGAAAATATTTTTCGAAAAAGATTTTTTAGTGTTTGATTTATGAATGAAAAATATTTGTGAGAAAATATCTTTTATTTTTACTAGAGAGTAGAAAATAACTTTTGAATTGAAAGTGAGAATATTTTTTTAAAATAAACTTAAATTTTTGGGGGGAGGGGTAGGGTGGTGGGGGTGGGGCTAACCGAGGGGGTGAGATGGGGTAAAAAAATAAAAATTTGAAATTGATATTATTTTTAAAAACAAACTTTAAAAAAAATTGGAGGGGGGTGGGGGCTGATTGGGGGGGGGGGGGTCGCGGGTACGGGGGTGGGGATGGGGTGAAAAAATAAAAATTTGAAATTGAAAATATTTTTTAAAAACAAACTTAAATTTTTTTTGGAGGGGGATGGAGGGCTGATTGGGGGGTGGGGAGGGATGAGGTGGAAAAATAAAAATTTGAAATTGAAAATATTTTTAAAAACAAACTTAAGTTTTTTTTTTAGGGGGGCTGGCGGGGAGGAGGGTAGGGGTAGGCGGTGAGGGTGGGGTAAAAAGATTAAAAAATGAAGTTGACATATTTTATTTTTTTTAAAAAGCTTTAAATTTATTTTATTTTTAAAAAGCTTTAAATTTATTTATTTTTTAAAAGCTTTAAATTTATTTTTTTCAACAAAAAAGTTGTAATTTGAAGTTTGAGGAGAGTTTTGGAAAATGTTTTTCTTAATTTTTGAAGGAAAGTCATTTTCCTTAAATTTGAGGAAAATGAGTTGATTTGAAAAACATTTTACCCAACCAAACATGAGAAAATTGAAAAATATTTTCCGAAAATACCAAACACACCCTAAGAGAGAATCTTTAGAAGGTCGAATTTTCCAATTTGAGCCATTAGCCAAAGTAAAAATTATCGCCATCTTTGTATTTTTATATTAACTAGTTTCTGGACACGTGCAACGCACGTGTATCTCATGCAATATGTTATAAATTCGTTAGGATGATTAAAATTCAATGAAACATGCATGTAATGAGTACTAAAATGCAACAATCTCAAATAATGTTATCATAATAAAAAAATTTATAGAAAATTGAATGAAGGAAGACTAATAGAGAAATATAAAAAAAATAAACATAGAAGAAAAAAATAACATACGCGTCCTTCTTAAGACTTTAATCATAACATTTTATAAATGAAAAAATAAATACAAAATCGGTACATAATTTTCCAAGTTTTTGTCGACACCTTCTCTCATATCCAATCAAAATTCAAAAGTCTTCTCCATCGAGTTAAACTAAAGCATGAATCAAATAGAAAAATCATTTTATGTGTGTAAAGTGATATATAATCAAACTAGGTAGATATATCATATACTTTAGATGTTGATGGCTTCACTACTTTAACAATAAAATGAAAAAAATAATTTTGGATGTGAGTTTCATGAAACAAAAAAGATGAACTTATATAGATAAAAACAGAGGAATACCAAAAGACATCTTAAAGTTTTCAATTAAATATTTGAAGGTTTCAAAGGGACAAAATAGATAAAATAGAACAACTTTAAGAATATTAAATATATGCAATGAACCTCCATTAAATTCGGGAAGAGTAAACAATCCTCCTTTGAGCACATGAACTCTCCATTTATTCAAGGGAAAAAGGACAAATATACCCCCGAACTTTCATAAATGGTATGTGTATACTCTTCGTTATACTTTTAGGACACCAGTATCCTTACCGTCCAAATTTTGGAACATATATATCATTTATACTAACGGTAATACACGTGTCTCAATCTTAACAGTCGACCCGATATTTGTTAAACTTCTACCCAAAATTGAAAAACCCACCCGAATTAATCTAAAAATCCGCCCAAATACATAATACCCACAACCAAAAAATATTAAACCAAATCTCCCAAATTAATTCACTTAATTTCAAATTAAGCAACTTAAATACTTGTTTAACAGCATCTTTCCCCCGATCTTCATCCCCAAATCATCCTCAACACTAAATCCTCCAATTTAACTTCATGAGAGGAAGACCCAGGGGCGGCTCTAAGGCTTGGCCAGTGAGGCCACTGCCTTAGGCCTCAAAAATTTGAAGGCCCCAAATTTGTTTAAATTATTATTATTAATTTTATTATATATGAATATAATTTATATAAATAAAATTGTTATTGTATATATTTTATTATTATTTGTTTGAGAGTATTTTTTTGTCAATACGTTCATAAATTCTCATACTCTTTTCACTCATTATTTGGTATATTTGTTTTAACTTCCAATTTTAAAATTTATCCTTTTTATATAGGAACTAAGTTATATATATATATATATATATATATATATATATATATATCGATAACATAATGAATTATTTTCTATCTTTTCTTAAACTGCGTGAACACAAAAATATTCATGCACAAGTTTCCTTTTCGTTTTAATTTAATATATTATATGAAAATTTTATAATTTGTTTTAGATATTCACCAATGAGTGCTACTTAATGGAATGAATTACACCAACATGGGTTGTGGTGCACTGGGAGTGCTTCACCCTTAACCATAGGTTTCGGGTTCGAGCCCTGGGTAGGGAAAAAAATTTGTTGGGAGCGCCACACCCGAATGGGCCCTGCAGTGCACGATTCAGATTTAGTCGGAGCTCCAATATGGGCTCCGAACACTGGGTGGGAAACCAAAAATAAATGGAATGAATTATATCATTTAAATTGATTAGAAATTTGTATATTTTTGTTACTATCCATGCTCAAAACTTCAACTATTAAGTTATGTATGTTCTTTTCTTTTTCTTATTTGTGATGATAGCCAAATTAAAATTTCAATTGAGTTTTGAAGCTTAACATCGATGATCCATCACTTTTATTTTTCGTTCTCATCTTCCTTTCTTCTTCTATTTTGTGTGAAATTTGATATTTTTTTTGTCTTAAATGATTAATCTATTGTGTAGAAAATAATTTTTCTTGTTAGTATATAAATTTTATAAAATAAATTTAAGGACCTCTTAATATGATTTTGCCTTAGGCCACGAGATTTGTTGAGCCGTCCCTGGGAAGACCCATCTAGGGCTGGCAAGGGGACTGGGACTGGGGGACAGGACAAAGGGGGACGGGACGGGGGACGGCGCTGGCGGGATTTGGCCGGGACGGGTATTGGGGGACAAAAATATGTCCCATCTCGTCCCACTATATATACGGGATGGGACGGGGTTTGGCGGGACGGGACGGGACGTGGGATTTTTTATTTTTCATATACTTATTTATTTGTATTGAAATTATATGTTATTGAATAACATTTTTAGTTTATTTGATTTTCAATAACATTTTTAGCAAATAAATAATGCTTAAATTTTCAAATTTCAAATTCAACTTTCAAATTTCAAACTTCAAACTTCAAATTTCAAATTTCAAATTTCAAATTCAATTTTCAAATTTGTATTTTAAATATTTTAAAGTAATTTAAACTTGAAATTT